TCCACAGGGAGTTCGTTGCAGAGGTTCAGAGCAGCCACAGAGAAGGCTCTCCTCCGGGTAGTTGCCAGTCGACACTGGCCGGCGGATGGAATTCGGAGGAGGCCTAATCTGTGGGATCTAATCGGTCTAGTGGAGGTAATTGGAGGTAATCTTCACATATATGTTTCTTTAATCTATATTTTATCCCTCCTGGTTTATTTGTTGTTGTTGTTGTTATTGGATAAATAAATTTAAAACATCAGGAAAATGCCATTAAAGGTTGGTAGGCACTTAATCTTTTTTATTTTCTGATTACTTCAGTTTAAATATTTATACTTGTTTAATGTCTCGATAGATGATAAACTATACGCTCCTGTAACTTGTTTTGTTTAGTTGAGAGCTATTTGGAATTTGTCTACAAATTCTATTGCAGAATTTGTCTGCAAATCATGCAACAGTCTTCCACTTAAATAAAACTTGAAACTGAAACAGTGTTAACTTTCTGAGCTGAATGACTGCGATCTGCTTTCCTTTTTAAAGGCAAAATGAATTGCTTTTTGGTATACTTCACTTGAAACTGCTCAAGTCAACAGAGTATATTGCATATATAGAAAATAACCAACTAGCAAAATAAAATAAAATAAAATAAAAAGGATCTTTTGAAATGTTTTTGAAATTTCAACATAAATGTTTTTAGATGAAAACAATAGCAATAGCAATATTATAGCCTTTTCTAAGCAGTTTACAGAGCCAGCTTATTGCCCCCAACAATTTGGGTCCTCATTTTATCATCCTTGGAAGGATGAGTCAACTTTGAGCCAGTGAGAATTGAACTCTTGGCAGTTGGCAGAATTAGCCTGCAGTACTGCATTCTAAACACTGTGCCACCAAGGCTCTTGCAGCATGATTCTGCTCTCATTTTAAAAATGTTAGGACCAAGAAAGTACCAAAATATGTTTGAGGAAAAAAGAGAAACCAAATAGCGGTTCTCAGAAAATTTGGAACATTTGAAATATTGTAATTCCTGTTAAAATGATTTTTTTAGATGACCTATCTCAATCAATTCAGTGTGGAACAGTTTTCTGTTAGAAATATATTTGAAAAATACTGAGAAATTATTTGGAAATTATTTGGTTTACAGACTTGGATGCATTTAGAAGAAGAATATCAGGAACTCATACAGCAGTTGGAGGCTGTTGAAACCAACATTCCTAGTGTTGGCTTGGTAGAAGAAACTGAGGAAAGGCTTAGTGATCGGATTTCACTTTATCAGGTAATGGTAATAATTTGTCCATCTGAATTCCTGCACATTTTGTACACACCAACATTTTAGGGGTTTGGCCACTCATCCTACCCTCCCCTATCTGCAGTTAACAGAAGAGAAGCTATGCATCAGATCAAGATGTGTTTCTAGCTGAGTTAACAACACTGAACAAATGCTTGAAGAAGAATACAAGCAGGACATCATGTCAGATGTCTTTTGGATTTTGTTCATTTACACTAAAAATCAAAATAGACATTTATTTGATAAAATGATCAGATGTATTTGTGTAATCCAATGCAAATGTATGCATATTATTCTACTCAATTATGCATGCATTATAGGGATTGATTCTCTTCAATCCCAAGTAGTACATGGGTTTATTTACTCTTCTCCCACCCCCTACAAAGATCTGTTATAACCTGGAATATAACTACCTGGAGACAAGAATAGAGAAGACGTGATTATATATATAATTTTGTGCTATTTTGTTTTTTGTTTTGTTTTTTGCATTAATTACCATAGATAAATTAGTTAGACATGAACTAAGTAAGTTGCATAAATTGCAGCACAGAAGCAAAATGTTTTTTTCTGGGAACCTGTACATGAAGGGAAAATATCTTATTTTCCTAGCAAGACCATGCATATAAATGTATGGACTACTAAGCTCTAGACAGGAATAGTTCTTGTGCATCCTAGTGGAAACTTTTGCCATAAGTATTCACACCCCATTTGCAGTTACATTTTGCTACTGATTGTTCTAAGGAGGGGAAGGAGAAAGTCTTTTGCCTCAGACATTGTGTTATAGGTTTGGATGACACTCTTTACATCTGTCATTTATTTTTTTTTAAATCATGACTGGATATTATATATTAGAAATAAAGTTCTCTATAATTTTCCTAGCTCACAGTCATTGTTAAGAATTAGTTTTTTCTTTGCAAATATCATCCAAGCCTGTATTCGTGTTACTTCCTGTGGCAATTGTTTCTAACTTAATTTAGGCTAAAAGACAAGCCATAAGGTTGCAACATGATGCAGGGTGTATTATATGTAGAATATTTGAATGTGCATGTACGGCATACATGCATATGAGCATGTGTGTATTTGAGTATGCATGTATGGAAAGTTATAGTATCTGGATAAACTAAAAGCAAAGAATCCATTAATCATGAACAAGGTTTAATGTATACTTCTCTGAATTGTTACCAAAATGTAGGTTTTCACATCAACAGGGAACATTTTAATGGTAAACTTGTAGGTTTCTTTTTCCTTGTGGGTTATAATAAAGAAAGAAATAATTGCAGTTTCATATTGTTTCTTATTGTCTTTTGTTATCAAAGCACCTGAAATATAGTCTTACTCAACACCAACCCAAACTTTACCAAGTGCTGGATGATGGGAAAAAACTACTGTTCTCTGTGACATGTTCAGAATTGGAATCTCAATTGAACCAGATAGGGGAGCATTGGTTAAATACTACCAACAAAGTTACTAAGGAAATGCACAGACTGGAAACTATACTTAAACTCTGGACAAGGTATTGCTAATAACATGAAAAAGCAATAAGTTTGGATTCTTTCTCATTTTGTATTTCATCAATACAATTACTTGCATAACATGTTTTATTACTTTTTGAAATTGGAGAGAATTCCAGGAAAACAATGGTAGAGTTCAACTTTCAATCCTAGCTCACTATTATTGGCATCCAACCCAGGAAAGAGTTGAATTATTACAGTATTTCCAGGGATTTATATACTTTTGGTTTATTGTTGTGGTTGCTTTATAATTTAATTGTGTTGGATATAACTCATCCATAATGTTTTGAGTTGGGTAGGCTATAAAAACTGTAAAATGTATGAGTGCGTGATGAATGAATGAATTATAAACAAGTAAATAAGCATCATTCAAAGAGTCCAAAGCATCCTAAATTAATTATATTTACCTCCATTGCTAAAGCAGATAATTTGGCTTGCAGAAGCATTATTTACTTTAGAAATATCTAAATTAAAAACACTAAGAAACTGTGGACTCTAAGACACACTAGAAAAAAAACTATAAAATACCTTCCAGGGAGGAAAAGAGTTGAATTTTATGGTGCATAGTGAAATACTTTAATTACGTATTGTCGTGGCTCTTGACTGTCATTTGCTTTTTCAAATAAGGGAGTATTTGTGAATCACAAAATCTGTCTGCTCCTACCAAGGGAAGAATTGAAATTGTTCGGTATACATGTATTCAGATATTGCTTGTGACAGTATACAATTTTACATAAAAATAAAATGAATTTAATGTGAATGTGAATATTCAAGATAAAATATTTTATCGGGAACCTTTTAAATGATCAGAGAATGACTTCACGAAAGTGAATATCTGTGGCTTAATGTGAAATAAATTTGTCCTCCATCATCTTTATAGATATCAGAGTGACTCGGCTGAGCTGATTCATTGGCTCCAGTCAGCAATGGAACGTTTGAAATATTGGACCCAGCAATCTATCACAGTTCCTCAAGAACTAGAAATAATTCGAGATCATCTGAATGCATTTTTGGTAGGTATGAATAAAAAAACTAGAGCCATTGACATTTCACAATCTAATTGTTTAGTAATATAATTGTTTCAGTTGCGGAATAAAATTTATAAAGTAACACAATGGCAATATCCAAAACTATTATATATTCGGGGGCTATATAATCGTGCATGTATATATTGCAGTGCTGTGCACTCTTAATTATCAGTTCAAAATAAAACATTTCCATTCTATTCATACTCCAAGTTTATTAATAAAACTGATGGAACCTGCTAGTTATGCCAAATTACAATTATTTCAGGAATTTTCCAAAGAAGTTGATGCAAAGTCATCCCAAAAATCTACTGTTCTGAGCACTGGAAATCATCTTCTCCGGCTGAAGAAAGTGGATACTGCGTCTTTGAAGGCTGGACTGTCACAAATTGATAATCAGTGGACAGAACTGCTCATACAGATTCCAGTAGTGCAGGAAAAACTGCATCAGGTAGGGCAAATTCAGTTCACTACATATGATTTCATTCAATGCACAGGGAAATATGTATGTACTTTTTCTGGCAACTTTCTCTTCAGGCATTGCTCATAAATTTCTTCTTTCCAGAAACTCAACCCTGTTTTCAGGAAATAAATGGCTGCGAAAGCAAGCCCAACTGGATAAATTATTTTAATATAGATAAAAAATAGTCAAAAAGATTCAAATGTCTGCATACTGAATGGCATAGTGACTTTGCCTGCCTTTTTTGAATTAAGAGTTTTTAATCCATTCTTTTCCCAGAGGTGTACTATTTAAACCATCTGGTATGCTGATGTGTCTTTAGTATTTCAGCTGTGTCTTGTTTCTCCATAGTGGCTCCATCTACATGACTGGGGTAGCAGTTTCCAATGTTTTGATAGTGGTTAGTGAGACTGTGCTTTCCAAACAAGTTCTTTGCAAAGTGTGCTAGCATGAGCAAAGACTCTCTGCTTGAAGTATAAAGAAAACTATATCCTTCAGAAGGCTCATGCAACTACTGCAAAGTAGTTGTATGTGTGCATGGTATATCTCTATGCACACATAATATTTCCACATTAGGACTGTCAGTAAAACAAAACAGCTGTGCTTGCACACAAAGGTAGACATCTGAAGACAGGTTTTGAAGCAGAGGCGGGATTCTTTTGGATGTGACTGCTGTAAAAAAAGAAATGATCCATGTATATTAATATTCTTTGCCAAGCACATTTTTTCCAATTCAAATGCAAGTGCTTTGCAATGTTCATATTAGCAGTGATCCAGTGATTCTTCCATTAAGGGAAGAAAAAAGAGAGATGGATTTGACAAAACCTTTTGTGAATATAATAGCTAATAATGCAAAATACAAATGTTCTAAAATTAGTGCTTATAGTGGATTTGTATGTGATATTTTAGCAGTGATTTTTTGCAATTATTTGAATATGATAATTCTGGAATGGAGATAATTAGTTATTACAATTATTACAAGGAAGTAAATTGATTTAGCAGCAGTACTGTATGACAGGATATAGTGGAGTTCATTCACACATTTTCAAATTCAATTCTGGAGATGAGAGAGTAGTATTTTTCCAACACAACAGTTCTGTTTATAGATGTTATGAACACTTTGTTGGACTACAATATATGGAAACATACACCACAGCCTTTTACTAACACATGGATTGGACTCAGGGGTGGGTTCCTGCCAGTTCTAATCTCTTCTCTAGAAGAGGTTCCACAAATCTACAGTGCCTTTTTAGAACCGGTTCTAGCTCCCTCCCCCCACCTGTCCTCACATCTTCAAGATGAAGAGTGAGAGGAGGAATTCTGGGAGTTGAAGTCCACAAGTCTTAAAGCTGTCAAGTTTGAACACCCCTGGTTTTTTTTTCTGAAGGGTTAGGGTTGCAAGGGTCTTGTAACTTGACAGCTTTAAGACTTGCGTGCTTCAAATGCCAGAGTTTCTGAGCCAACATTTTGGTTGCTAAGCAACAAAATGGAAACCAGGAAGAGAATTCAAGGATGTGTTGATGAAACACCCAG